ATAATGGAACAGTGTCTGGAGCTTGAGGCCAGTGGTGTGACATCGGTGGGGGATGGGAGGAATCCCTTGTGTCCCATTTCATTTCATCTTCCTTTTGAGGTTTAAAAGTAGGACAAACAGTGGTTGGAGATCCCTGAACCCAGGTTGGGTGATTCATCTCCTAACCTGGACTAGTTCTGGTCTGGGGTACTGAGGTCACAGAGAGTTGGTTGGTGGCCTTCAGAATGTGTTGGAAAGAAATACCAGAGGAGCCAGAAACTGGAGATGGCTAATGCCCATTTATCAAAAAGGTGAAGGAAGGGCTGGGACTGGGGCTCAGTGGTAGAGCGCTTGCCTAGCATGTGTGAGGCACTGGGTTCAATTCTCAGCATTGCATTATAAATAAGTAAAATAAAGGTCCATTAACAACTAAAAAATATTTTTTTAGAGAATTTTTTTAAATATTTATTTTTTAGTTTTCAGTGGACACAACATCTTTGTATGTGGTGCTGAGGATCAAACCCGGGCCGCACGCATGCCAGGCAAGCGCGCTACCGCTTGAGCCATATCCCCAGCCCCTAAAAAATATTTTTAAAAAAGGTGAAGGAGGTGGGCTTTACAGATTACTACAGACAGGCTGTGAATGCTTTAAAAAGCATTTTGGAAATGGGTATCTTTGGGGCTAGGTAGTGCTTACTAGGAAAGGCATATTGATTGTAGTTTATCTTGGATATGAGGTAGTAGTTTGGGATTTAGATAAGACCTTTGATGGAATTTTATGACATCCTCCAGGACCATCTGGGAACATTGTCAGCCTGTTTATAAACTCATGAAACACCTTACTTAGAGTTCATTCTTGATTCTTTCTCACCCCCAACTCCAACCCACACCCCAAGGCAGTGGATCCTGTGGAATATCTCTGCCCTTGTCCTTATCCTTGATGCTGATTTGGATTAGTATCTCTGGGGGCTACTGATGGTTACATGAATGCCTAGAGGTGCAATAGGATTGAGATCTCAGGATCTCCCAGTAAACTGACAAACTACGGGCCAGTCTAGTGAGGGAGGATTTACCAGGGAAGAGTGAGGGACTACTTTTGGGACCAGAAAGATAACTGCTCATGTACAGTCTGAGGCTGGTGGCTTAGCAGCAGCATGGATGAAAACTTTTTGAGTTTTTGGTGATTGCAAGCTGCGTATACATCAGCAGGGGGGGCATAGCCACCAGAGTTGCCCTCGTGGGCTCAGCTGCATTGATAGACACGTGGGGCTGTGATACTCCATGGGAGTTTGGTAGGGACACCTGCTTGAACTCCTGCAGGCAGAGTAAGTACTTCCCACCTTTGAGTTTTTCAGTTCTGGAAATTTTAATTTTATTTCTTTTTTTGGGATTGGGATTTCACCATGTTTCCTGGAGTGGCCTCGAATTTGTGATCTTCCTACTTCAGCCTCCTGAATAGTGAGGATTATAAATGTGTGCCACCACACCTGGCTTTATTTTTACTTTTTTGATTTTCTCACCTCTGTTTTTCAGTTCTTTCCTTCTGTGATTCATTATTAGATTTTTTGCTTCCTGTATTGTCTCTTCTGATTTTCACATCTTTAATCTGTCATTATCCAACTTTTATCTTTTTGTTCTACTTTCCAGAAGATTTATTTTAAACTTGTATTGAGTTTCTTATTTCACTCTGATTTTAATATCCAGGAGCTTTTTTTTTTGTTCCCTGAATATTCATTTCTTAAAAATAGCATTATGTTCTTGTTTCTTTATTGTGAACTCTAACCTTTAAATTTTCTTCTCCCAGCATTGTCTCTGAGTTTCTGTTTTCTGCTAATCTAATTTCTGTTGCTAAAGGTCTTTCCGCAAATGTCTGATATTCCTTGGCTCTTTCTTTTTGGGTGGGAAAAGCAGATTTTTGGAAACTATTGTCACTGCTAAGGACCCCACTGCCCTGTACTCAGCTGGGATGAGATGTTCTGACAGATTTAATATCTGAAGGTTTCCTTCCCCACTATACCCCTGTGTTCCCAGGATCATTTGGGTTTTCCAGAAAAGACCTCACCAGTCTTCTGCCTGGTAGACCCAGCATTCTTAGGATATAGTAAAATTCTCTGGCAGCCTGTAGATACTTCTGTTGCAGAATTTCTCCTTTGACGTCTGTCTGCCAAGTGTTCCAAATCTGACAACACTTGGGATGGAGAAGGGTGATATGTTGGCAGTTTGGGATGGTGCTGGGGGGCTTCACTGTCCTTTTGGCAGATGGTGCAGTCCATCTACATTCAGCTGTCTGTCCCTCCCACCTTCCCAGGTACTCAGCACCTCCAATTCCTGAGATTTCCTTGGGCTCCTTGTCTCTAATGGGCTTTTTTCTTAGCTGCCTTGTAGGTTTTTGGAATTTGGTTTTTAAATCTCATCTCATCTGATCTCATTTCATCTCTAATACTTCTTTCCACTTCTATCTTAAATGTATTGACGTGTCCTAGTGGCTGTCATTTTTTCCTCCTTTTTGTTCTTGAGAGTTTTAACTGGAAGTTTATTCTTCTGTTTAACCTTTATGTATCTTTGGTTTGAAATGTGTCTTTTTAGACAACCTATTGATGAATTAAAAAACATTCAAGATGAGCATTTGAATTTTGATCAGGAGTGCAACTCATTATATATTTACGCTAATTCCTATTACACTACTAATTTTGCCATCTTTCTCTCTCTCTCTCTCTCTCTCTCTCTCTCTCTCTCTCTCTCCAGTACTGAGGATTAAACCCAGGGAGCTCCACATCCCACTGAGCCACATCCCTAGTCTTTTAAAATTTTTTTATTTTGAGACAGGGTCTTCCTAAGTTGCTGAGGTTGGCCTTGAACTTGTGATGCTCCTGCCTTGACCTTCTGTGTTAGTAGGATTATAGGCATGCACCATTGCACCCTGTTACTTCTGCCATCTTACTTAATGCTTTCTACTTTCTGTCTGCTGCTGCTTCTCCTTTTTTGTGTAAATTGAATTTTCTTCTCCTGGTTTGAGAGTTTTACATTGTTATGGTTATGTTAACCATAATCATGGTTATGTTAATCATGGTTATGTTAACTTTTTATGTCTCACACTTCCCCAAGAAGAAGTCAAGACCCTCAGCATGGTCCCCCTCCCTCTGCTCTTTCTGCCTGTGCAAGTGCAGTAGCTTCTCCAGGCCTGGATTCTATGGAGAGACAAGGCAACCCTGCTTACTTGCCATTTTGCTCAGAACTGGGCAAGGTTTGTTGAGGAGGAGCCTCCAGTATTCTGGCGGTTTGGTTTAAAGGACCTCTAAAAAGTCCCTGAGGTTTGGAGCAAGTCCTGGGGATGGTAGATTCTTAGAGGAAGTGGTCAGGCAATGGACAGGTCAGTAGAGCCAGGAGCCCCAGACCTTCAGTTGTTCCTTAGTTCTTCTTTGTGACATATCTGCCCCTGGTCCCAGCTTTGCTCTCAGGTGCTGTGTAGACTATGGCTACCCCCACTCCCTGTACTAAAGACAGAAAACAACAGGAAAGTGGGCCTCAGGGGGACAGTAGGAGGAGTAGTGACTAGGCTGAATTGGCATGGGCATTGTAAGGTCCTTGCTTAGCATCTGGATGGCCATCTTAAGTGACAGCCACCATTTTAAGAAAAATTTTGCTTTCCTGCTCAAGGGCCTGTCTGAGAGAGGCTCACCACTCCCTCATACCAACCCCATCCTTAACCACTCACATTAGGACCCACCTGGCCCCATAAAAGTCCCGAACCCCAAGCCTGTTTTGCCTCTCTCTGTCTATTGAGAGATGGCCTTTATTTGTCAGCTCTGATAAATAAACTCTCGTGTGTATCTCGGCCTGGTCTCCGTCTTTCATTTCTCGCTCACCTGACTCCTGGTTCTTCACTTTCCTTTCAGACATGCCCCATCCAAAGGAGCACCCTGACCAATGCCACCAAGTCCTTATCAAGTAGGAATGTGGATCCAACAGCACCAGAGTTTTTGCTTTTGCACGAGAAGTCAGGAAATTGAATTTCCTGCGTGAAATCTTCCAATCTCCATATTAGCTCACAATTGTTTATAACCTGTGCAGGACACACAGAGTGTCTGCAGGCTGGCTCTGCTCCAGATATTGTTGCCCTTGCCCATTGCCATGGTTAGTCATTGATTCTGTCAATGTTACCTTTGGTTCTTTTCCCTCTGGGACTCAGTGTCCTCTCCTAACTCAGTGGTTTCCCCCAAAATTGTGGTTTCCCACACCCTTCCCCTCCAGCCACTCCTCTGGTCCCCTTTGTTACTTTGCCAACTAGTTAGTCTGACATCTTCTTTTACAGATGATGGCCAGCCCATCTAGGGCCTTTCACACTATGTGTGTGTGCTTTTTCTCTCAGCCATTTGTTCTTTGGAGCAGGTTAAACACCTTCTTTGTTTGTATTAGTGATTTGTAAATGGGTCAGGTAAAGGGAAACTCATTCTCCCCTATGAGTGTTGGGCACACAGGGTTGGCTTTCCGGGAGCCTGACTGCAGCCTGAGCCCACGAGTCCTGTTCCTAGAAATAGAGAAGAAACTGCTCTCACTGGTGTGTGGATGCAGACTTAGCTTGCCAGTCCCAGATCTTGTGCCTTGGCCTGCAGAGGGCAGGACTGCCATGTGGCACAGAGCTGGTGAGCTGTTTCGTGCGCCCCTCCTGACTTCAGTGGCCTCACTAGTTGCCTTGGGTTCCCTGCCTCGGCCCCTGGCCTCACTCTGCCTAAGTGGCAAGAGTTGCCGCTTTATATGCACTGGATAGTTTGTGACTCAGTCCTCAGTGGCCCCTCAGATGGGGAAGTGAAACAGCTGCACCTGGCCAGGCCTGACCTTTGGGTGACAGCGGAAGTAGCTGTACAAACATGGGGCTCACTGCTCTGGGGAAGTCCTCTCTTCAGCCAGACTGTGAGGAAAACGTCTGCCTGCCTGGCCCGTGTGTGGCCTCCAAGTCTGTAGCTCCAGTAACAATTTCTCCCTCCTTTTCTCTCCTTTCCTCTACTTTTTCTTGGTGACAGCTGGAAGTCACAGTGGTCACAACTGAAAGAGCCAAACATTTCTACAACCCCCAGGACATTCCTGTCACCCTCTACAGTGACTCTGATGAATGGGAGGTTAGTGCTGGGCCCCTAGGGCTGAGTTTTGTTGCATTTCTACCAACAGGACAGAACTGTCCTCCCTTAGCCTGGCGGCCAGAGCAGACAGGCTGGGCTGAAGTCAGCGGTCAGGGCCATCTGGGCAAAGGCGAAGAGGAAAACATCTGTCTAGCTTCTGGCCTGCGGGAGGCCCACAGTCCCTCCCTTCCCAGGCAGAGCTCAGCTTTGGCCCAGTGCCTGAGGTTGAGTGTCCTTGTACTTATCTGGGCTGATGAAACCACAGAGGAGCTCTGTTCCCACCACCCTTGTCCACGTGGCTCCTGGCGTCAGGGCTGTGGAAAGTGCCTCACTTCCCATGGCCTCCAGGCTCTGCCTCTGCCCTCCTGTGGAGGGGCGGGCACTAGCTGACCCACCAGACGCGGAGGGTGGGCCTCACAGGGATGCCCTGCCAGGCATTTTTAAACATTCTCAATCTTGAACATTTTTGGCTGGCTTCTTCTCCCAACCCCGCCCCCTCCATTTCTCATCGCCCCAGAGCCCTTCCACTGGCTTGGACAATCCAAGCATCCGCCTCAAGCAGACAGGCCAGGAGTTCCCTGCCAGATGTCAGTTCTGTTGAAAACCAAACCATAAAGGGAATAGCTGAGAGAGACAAGGGGCGTTTGTTTCCTCAGGCCTGGTTTCTGTCAGGTTGCTGGCTGCTTGGCCAGTGCTTGCCAGCCGAGCTATGAGAGGGAACTGTGGTGGATTTGAGCAGGGAGGTCAGGTGGTCTCCCTGGGTTCCTGGTTTGTACCTGGATTGCTTTGGTCCCCTCCCCCTATCACATAGAGAGTGACACTGTTTCCTCCCTCTGCCAGATGTGGAAGCACCGCTCTGACCCAGTTCTCCACGTTGATCTGCGGAGGTGGGCTGACCTGATGCTAGTGGCTCCTCTCGATGCCAACACCCTGGGGAAGGTGGCCAGTGGCATCTGTGACAATTTGCTTGTGAGTGACTCCCTGGCATCCTCATCCCTCCCTCTCCCACTTTTCTGAGCTGCAGACTTCCTTGTACAAGAAGACCTATTACTTTGGGACCCAGGTTTGCTCAGGAAGAATGTGGTGCCCCTGGCTCCACTGCCCCTAGGGGGACTAGTCTCCAGCAAGTGGGCAGCAGACCTGGGCCTGCAGATCCATTGGACTTGCTGATGCTCTCTGGGTGTGTCCACCTCTTGCCTACCTCCCAGTGCTCAGTCAGATGCCCAGCCTTGGCCCCATGCTTTCTTTGTCTTCCATCATGGCTGCCTTCTGCTGTCCATTCCCTTCCCCTTCAGCTCTGCCTCACCAGGATCTGGATATATGCACATGTGGGCAATCTGATAAGGGTGCTTACTTCCTTATAGATCTCCAATAGAAACATATTTCTTGTAGCTCTTTAGCCCCAAGGCTAAGACTCAGTTTTCCTGTGTATTAGAGAAAGTTTAGAGAGAAAAGAAGAAAAAGTCAGAACAAGAGATAATTGCCTATGAACGGTGGAGGAGAGGTTCAGATATACAAAAGTAGGAATTGGCTTAGGCCTCTGTGACAGCCAGGGAACTGTCACTCTTAAAGAGGATCTGCTGGTCTCCTGATTTGATTATATGATCATCCTGGAACTATTTGGGTGTGATTTTTCTACTTCCTCTCTCTTTCTTATTACCTTTCCCCCATATATTATTAAGCTTTTACCTCCCATGTCCTAGTGACTGTGCTAAGGACACAGAGGGCTTTCATTATGGAAGAAGAGTAGTTTTTTGTTTTTGTACTGGGGATTGAACCTAGGAACATTTTACCACTGATATACAACCTCTGTCTTTTTTTTTTTTTTTTTTTTTTTAATTTTGAGGCAGTGTCTCTAAGTTACTAAGAATCTCACTGAATTCTTGAGGCTGGCTTCAAACTTTTGATTCTCCTGACTCAGATTCTGTGTCACTGGAATTATTATAGGCCCTGGCAGAAGAGGGTTTTTTATCATAGTCACGTGTATAGTGACTGATGGGTGATGATGGTCTTAAGTGACCATTAGTCAGTCCATTTTTTAAAAATTCAGTACTGGAAATTGAATTCAGGGGTACTCTACCACTGTGCTATGTCCCTAACCCTTTATTTTTAATTGATTTTTATTTTGAAACAGAGTCTCACTGAACTGCCCAAGCTGGCCTTGAGCTTGAGATCCTCCTGCCTCAGCCTCTTTAAGTAGCTGGGATTAAGGTCATGCACTACCACACCAGGCCCCAGTTAGTCCTTTGATAGCAGAGTCACTGCCTTGCTTTACTGAGAATGTGGTAGACATTCAATAAAATACTGTATGTATGTGGTCAGAAGTAATTTTCCATATGTCAACAGCTGGGAGTTTTTTAGTTTACCATGGTGAAAAAGGTGAATACTAAAGCTGGATTAGGGTTTTGTGGGGGTCGGATAAGAGATAATTAGTGAGCCTGTCAGTGAGCCCCACTGTGCCGACTGTCAGGGGGCTCTTGAGGCCTTCCTGGGGAATCTACTAGTGACTTAAGCATCTCTTGACCAAGAGCACAGGTTGAGCAGAACACGCCTGGATGGTGTGGCCCTGAGCAAGTGCAAAGAAGGAGATCTGAGAGCAGCATTATCAAGATGGCCCAGTAGGAGTGGGTGCAGTGACGCAGGCCTGTAATCCCAGCAACTCAGGAGGCTGAGTCAGGAGGATCAAAGCCAGCCTCAGCAATTTAGTGAGGCCCTAAGCAACTTAGCAAGACCCTATCTCAAAAAGGGCTGGGGATGTGGCTCAGTGATTAAGCACTGCTGGGTTTAATTCCTGGTACAAAGGGAAAAAAAAGGGACTGGAGCTATAGCTCAGTGGTAGGGTGCCTGCTTCACTTGTGTGAGGCACTGGGTTTGATCCTCAGCACCACATAAAAATAAACAAAGATATTGTGTCCATCCACAACTAAAATAAGAAAGATAGAAAGAATGCCCAGTAGTGTTGGAACCTGGCCAGCAGGCACTAAAACAAAAGAAATACCCTGTTGCTTTTCTTGAAGCAGCTCAGAGTGGGGTGGTCTGTACCATCCCACCAAACTCTCAGATTCCCACTGCCTGGTCAGGGGCGTCTGATGTGCTGTAGCACACCCACCTCAGAGTTCAGTCTCGGCCGACCTCTAAGAGTTCTGTCTCCTGAAAGCTCTACGTCCTTTTTTTTTCCTTCAAGGCCATTGCCACTCCCTGAAATTTTGGGGGTTCTCTCCTCCAGAATTGGCAGTAGAATATGTTCCCAAGTCTGGCTATTTGCCTCAAAGGAATTCACTTGAAGGCGCAAATGTTTTAAAGAATATCAAATGTTATAAAAATTGAACTGTCAGCATCCTTGGTATGTGGGTTGGTGTGCTTTCCTTTGATGAGGGCTTAGAAACCCTAGCCCAGCCCCCGTCTCCATACCACACACACACACACAAGGGGCTCTTCTAGGTATGCTCAGGAATTCTGCAGAAGTATCAGGTGGCATGGGGCCAAGAGGAAGTGTGACTGAAACTGTCCACTCATAACCCTGTTGCACATTGAGAGGACTTGATGGGAAACGAATGCTAGTGTCTGGGATGACGCAAGCAGACAAATCCTGAGGCTCTTTGCTGTCCTGGGAGAGGGCAGGGGCACCAAGGGATCAGGCTCTAGCCTGGCCTGTGCATAGCATTGTTCTCTGCACATCCTCTTCTTTTCCCAGATGGACTTCTGGGGAGGAGTGTTCCAGCCACTGTCTCCCCAAGGAGCTCCTGGCCAAGAGGAGGTGCCTGGTGTAGTCAGAGCACAGGGAAACTTATTTCCCCCTGAGGCAGCCCCCAACCTAATAAGCCTGTCCTGTAGTAATAACAGGAACCACCGCCCTGAAAGCCTGTTCTTGGTACCATTCCCTATGCTAAGAATTTTGAAAGCATTCACACCCTCAGTCTTCACAGCCACCCAGTAAGGGGGCCCTTTTGCAGAGGAAGCTGAGGCCCTGGCATTAAACAATTTGTCCAGGTTCTCACAAATAGTTTTTATACACACACACACACACACTTGATTTATGCAACCTCAGAACTCAAAGCCTATGGCATTAAGGACTCAGAGCTGTTAGGCCCTTCCGCAGCTACTCTGGTCTGTACCTCAGTGGGATGGCCTGGCTTCAGGAGACAATAAGGTTGCCCAGTGCAGTGAAAGGTTACACGGGTTGGTGTTTGTCCAGGTGTGACTTTGGGCAGCAGTTCACCCTGCAGGGAACTATGGCTTGCCCATCTGTGAAAGGGGCAGGGCTTTTCTCCTAGGGTCACAATGAGGGTTCCTGAAATAAAGTATGAGAGAAGGTGTTTGTCATGTGTTGGATGTTTTCATTGCCATGGTTTAATTGGCTCAGAAGTAGAGTTGGTGGTAGGTAGGTCTCCCTATGAGCCGTCTGGTCCCTAACTTTCTGGTGAACTGCGACACCTGCCTCTTGCTCCCTAGGGTTGCTTCTACCTAAGAGACACAAGCCAGTATGGAGAAGGGTCAAGCTTAGATGCGGGGAGACTACACACAGGAGGGAGGTCTGCTGGAGGTGGCTGAGCCATTGAAGGCATTGGTTGAGCACTTGCTGTGTGTAGTGCCTGTGCCAGAGCTTGAGGAAAGATGGTGAGGTTTGAGGAGTCCCCTAACCCCAGGGACATGAGACAGGTGGCACCCAGTCATCCTGAGCCTCCGACTGGGCTGCTGACTGTAGCCTGGAAGACAGTGGGGATGGTTTAGGAGGGCTAGGAAGGGGTGGTAGGCAGAGGAGCAGGACCTCCCCCTTCTTCACAGACGTGTGTCATCCGTGCCTGGGACCGCAGCAAACCCCTGATCTTCTGTCCTGCCATGAATACCGTCATGTGGGAACACCCCCTTACTGCACAGCAGATGGACCAACTCAAGGCCTTTGGCTATGTGGAGATCCCCTGTGTGGACAAGAAGCTGGTGTGTGGAGATCAAGGTAGGTATCTTATCAGGCTTACATCCCATGACTATGGAAGGGGCTCAGCTTTGGGGTTCATATTCTGGCCTGTAGTGACCTCGGGTAGAACTATTCTCTGAGCTCAATTCTTTTGTCTGGAAAATGAGAATCCTAATTCTTGCTTCTCAGAGTTGTTAGGATAAAATAACATATATCAAATGCTTACTAGAGGCTGGGCTTGGTGGTGCATGCCTATGATCCCAGGGACTTGGGAGACTGAGACAAGAGGATCGCGAGTTTGAGGCCAGCCTCAGCAACTTAGCAAGACTCTGTCTCAAAATAAAAACAGGCTGGGGATGTAGCTCAGTGGTAGAGCACTCCTGAGTTCAATCTTTAGTATTACAAAAATAAGTAAAAGTGCTTGTTAGAGTCACTGGCATTTAGCATACACACTGTCAAGGATGACTAGTGGAATGATTCCTGGGGACTATTCTAGGGTGTCTTAGGAGGGGTTTGATGGGTCTTGTTGGTGCAGTGATGGGCCTGGCCTTTTTAGGCCTTCATCTCTGGATGTGATGTGATGGGGAACTTTGGGCAGGGGGCTGCAAGCATTGTTAGCTGTCCGGCCCTCCCTTGATTACAGCACAGAACTTTGCTCCCAGGTCTGGGCGCTATGGCTGAGGTGGAGACCATTGTGGATAAAGTGAAAGAAGTCCTCTCCCAGCACAGCGGCGTCCAGCAGAGTTGAACTGATTTCTGTTATGGGTGTACCTCTGCACTCAGTGTGTTTTCAGGCCAAGATGGTGAAGAAGGGCATCATCAAAATATGGTGAAGATGTGGCTGGGGCTGTGGGTCAGTGACAGAGCGCTTACCTTGCAAGCGCTGCGTTTAATTCTCAGCACCATATAAAAACAAATAAATAAATAAATAAAGGTCCATCAATAACTAATAAAAATTTTAAAAAATATATGGTGAAGTGCTGCCCCCAACCTGCGCGGGCAGCTGAACTTAAGGTCGCTCATGATTTTCCAGGGACACCAAATAAAACACAGACACACTTTACCTTTAAACAAACTTCTGGATGGCTCCGCTGTCTGCCTCAGGCTCCCCAAAAGGGAAAGCAAGAGAAAGTCAGGCGAGAGAGGCTGGTGAGAGAAAGAGAGAGTGTGTGCGTGCTTGAGCGGGAGCATGTTCAGAAGTGGGCTTTTATTGGGGGGACTCTTGTTCTTTAGTAAGTTCTATCTGGAAAAGGCCAGAAGGGGCAGGGTTACAAGCAACAGATGAGTGTAACTCAACCTCAGGGTTGACACCTACATCTGAAGACACACCTACTTCTTGGGCTGAGACAACGCCCAAGTCACTACAAAATGTAGTGATTGATTAGAGCCTCTTGCTTCAGGACTGGAAGGTGGGTCATTCAGAGTGGCTCCCCACAGTGAAGATTCCTGCATTTGCTCAAGAGGCCTCTGACCTGCTCCAGGTTATACAGGACCAAAGGCGCAACTTCTTTCAACCAGGGGGTGCCTGCTTTCTATAACCCCTCCCCATCTCTTCCTGGGAGGGGTACAACAAGCTAGGAGAGAAAACTGCTATATGTCCCTGAACACCTGGGAGGACTAAGTGACTGGGAGACTTCTATTTTTTCTCTTGCCCAGGAATTGCTTTTTGAAATACTAGCTGCAGGTCCCTGGCATGGCAGGCCCCTGGCCAGGCCTCGGGAGCTTCCATTTTCTGATGAGGTGCCCAAGTGTCACACAGTCAGGAAATTTGTGAGGTGGCAGGACTCTCAGATTTTCCACAGACCATGCTATGAATTTGGGGATTCTGGGAAATTAAAAAAAAATGTGATCTTTTAGGAGATTCTGTCCTTTCTTTACAACCCATCTATGGTCTCAGAGATTTGAAGGCATTGATGGATCAGGCCAGGGAAAACGTAGGGTGATGACTGACTAGCACTCTCCTGTCCCCATATAATATGAGTACATATGGACAAAAAGCCCTGAAGCCAGACAGACCCTATTCAAATCTCAGCTCTGCCACTTATCACCGGTAGACCTTGGCTTGGGACTTTCCCTTTCTGATCCTCACTTTCTGCATCTGTATTATCATCCTTCCCTTGTGAAACTGTTGAGATTAAGTGAGATGATGTGTGCAAAATACAGGTGTCCCCTTTATCCTCTGGAGACACATTCCAAGACTCCCAGTAGATGCCTGAAACCACATGTAGTACTGAACCCTATTAATACTATGCATTTCCCCACACATAACATACCTATGACAAAGTTTAACTTGGAAATTAGGCACTGTAAGAGATTAACAACAATAGCTAATAATAAATTAAAATATGCTGTAATAAATGTTGTGTGAATGTGGATTCTCTTTCTTAGCAACGTCAGCATTCAATTTCTTTTTTCTTTCCTTATGAAGTCAAGAACTTTCACTTCTTCACGTAAAGGAAGCACCTAACAGCTTCTCATTCTGAATTGCTAGCTTCACCATTCTGCGATTTGGGTTACTGCCACAGTCTGGCTGGGCACAAATGCCGCAGTCTGGCTGGGCACACAATCACGAGCCACCACACAGCTTGTAGATTCAAACAGCAACTCTTTATTCCCGAACTCACACCAGCCGTCTACAATCACGTTCTGGGGAAATCCACGTTCTCTGCCCAAATCCACCTCCACTGGGCTTCTATCTCCAAAAAATATTGTCTAAATCCTGTGAGAACTCAAGGGGAACTCAGGCAGCAGGATACGCCCTATTCCCAGCAGGAATAATCTTAAACCTTAAACCTGGAACCTAAACTGGGAACGCCCTAAACACGATTATCTTAAACCGGGAACACCCTAATCCGCCTTGGTCCTTGAGCAAGGTCACCTACATTCAATGTCACTGCAACATGGGGTACGCTGGCAAGGAAATTGTCATACCTACTTGGCTAATGGCTCCCAGCATCTCCCCCCTTCTGATTAATTAAACAACAAGCAATGTGGCTTAAGGACCGTGCCTGGTAGGTTGTCCAATTCAACATATGGTTCTTACCCGTCATCGGAAAACTGACCTTTAGGCGTCAGCCTCCTGTCTTAGGTTGATACCACTGCAATTGGATCATACCCGTCACTGACTACCGGTCCAGCATACAGCCATACTTGTGGATAGGTCTATGCACCAGTGGGGGGGTGAGGTTCTTTGCCTCACCTCTGTTGGCCCCCAAATTTGGCCTTGGTGCCAGTGGGGGAGTGAGGTTAATGTGGCTTAAGGACCGTGCCTGGTAGGTTGTCCAATTCAACATATGGTTCTTACCCGTCATCGGAAAACTGACCTTTAGGCGTCAGCCTCCTGTCTTAGGTTGATACCACTGCAATTGGATCATACCCGTCACTGACTACCGGTCCAGCATAAGCCATTGGCCCCCAAATTTTAGACCATCACTAGCAGAAGGGAGGAGGATACAGAAATGCCACGACACCAAGCCAATTGATGGCTCCTTGGGAAAAATTGCATCACTGGTGACACCATCAGCAAAGATATGTCAGCACTACCACAATTAACATGGGGTGCGCTGGCAAGGAAATAAAAATTGCATCACTAGTGACACCATCAGCAAAGATATGCCAGCATTACCACAATTCGCTGCACCAAACGATAGTTACATAGTCCAGGCAAGTTCTGCAAGCAGTTCAAAGCGGAGGAATCTATCAATATGTACATTTCCTCCCAAAATCCGTTTCCTCCCAAAGTAAGTTAACTCCTTGATTGAGCATTACTTGTTGAGTTATATTCATTGATGCATCAGTTTATACAGTTTACTGTGATAGCTATCATAGAAGCTGTAGTCTGGTTGTATCTTTGTCTTCACCGGCACTGGGATGAAGATAGGAATTCTGGCAATGATGCTAAAGAGACATTATCCTGAAAAGAATTATTAAATATAATGAAAAGGAAAGGTGAAAGTAAACAAACAGATCTGTTAACCTACTTTAAAAACAATCCTTAACAGCTGTTTACCTAATTTAAATTAAACCATTTAAATCATGTGAATAAAAAAAAAATAATAATTCGGATCCATTTTTTCATGAGCGCTCCTCACATAAGAAATATGGACATACGCACATACAGACATACAACACAAAACACAAGAGTGTACACAAACGTACAACACATAAGAAAATAGTAAAGGCCTTGTAGCTTTACCTGGGTGAAATCTCCATTGCAATGTTTAAAAACCCCACAGTCAAAAAATAAAACTGATCAGAAAAACATTAACCTAGGTTTGTATGAGCTCAAAAAATAAAAATAGAACCTTATGATGTGGAAAAATGCAATAATAAAATAGCTATTGAAAAAAGCATCCTGGTTAATCACTGTCGCAGATGTAAGAATGGCCAAGCTGGAGTTCTGGATATCAGCTGTTATGGATTTGAGTCAAATCATCTTCTTTTCGATCTGTAGAAATTGTTTTAGTTAATCTCTCTGGAATCCAAATCGGCTGCTGTTCTCCCTGTGGAAAAACACAAACAGACCCCCGACTCCAGACAATCACTGGGTCAGGACCTTTCCATTGTCCTGTTAGAATATCTTTCCAAAGTACTTTAGGCTTATGTACATTTTTTGGATACATATGCCTTTCCGCAGCACTAAGTCCTGATGAATCCAAATTTAAAAAGTTTAGAGTAAAAAGTGTTATTTTAAGTTTATCTTTGGGGGATATATACCCCCTTCCAATTCCCTCTTTTTGCTTTAATAAGTATGTTTTAATAGTTTGATGAGCTCTTTCAACTATGCCTTGTCCCTGTGGATTGTATGGGATTCCTGTTATATGAGTAATACCAAATGATGAGCAAAATTGTTTAAAAGAGGTAGAGGTATAGCCAGGACCATTATCGGTTTTTAACTGTTTAGGAACGCCCACAGTGGCAAAATTTTGTAAGCAATGAGCTATAACATCTTTAGTTTTTTCTCCGGCATGAAGGGAGCCCATCAAAAATCCGGAAGAAGTATCAACTGTAACATGTAAATATTTTAATTTTCCAAATTCTGGCAAGTGTGTGACGTCCATCTGCCAAATATGGTTAGGTATCAGTCCTCTAGGATTGACCCCAAGATTAACTTGTGGTAAAAATGTCACACAATTTTGACATTGTTTTATTATATGTCTGGCTTGTTCCTTAGTTATTTTAAAACGCTTTTGTAAAGTATTAGCATTAACATGAAACCTTTTATGAAAATTTGTAGCTTCTTCAAATGTAGAGAAAATATGTATGTCATGTGTAGTTTTATCTGCTAAATCATTGCCTAAACTAAGGGCTCCAGGCAATCCTGTATGTGCCCTAATATGTCCTATAAAGAATGGATCTTTTCTGTCCCAGATTAGACTTTGTATAGTGGAAAACAAAGAGAAAACAGTAGAAGAAGGGGAAATCCTACCAGCATCTTCAAGAGATACTATAGCATTAACTACATACTGACTATCAGAAAATAAATTAAATACAGAATCTTTAAACATCACAAAAGCTTGTAAAACTGCATTAAGCTCTACCTTTTGAGCTGATTGTTTGGGTACTAAAAATGTAAAAGTTTGATCAGGGGTAACTACTGCTGCTGTACCATTATTTGACCCATCAGTAAATATATTTGGAGCATTCATGATAGGTGTTTTTCTTGTCATTTTAGGAAAAACTACAGGATGCTTAGACCAAAAAGACAACAAAGGATTAGATGGTAAATGATTATCAAATGAAACATTAGATTTACACATGATTATTGCCCAAGTATTTAACTCATTAGCTAACTCATCAATTTGATCCATAGTATATGGAGTAATAATTTTATTGGGAGAAATTCCAAACACTCCCTTCGCTGCTTTTATTCCTTTGAGTATTAATTGTCCTACAGCCTCAGGATACCTAGTAAGAATAGTGTTAGGAGAATAAGATAAATGTATCCACAATAATGGACCTTCTTGCC